CTTTTATTTATCTTGTTTTCTTTGGACATGAAGACATGTTGGAGAATTATAAAGAAGCACACCAATCAGTAGAGTATGGTACATGAAGATATCAATCTGTTCAAGCATTTTGGAGGCTGACGCACATGCTGGACAATTTTAAGCACTTGGAAAACACACAGCTCACAAAAGTATGGAAATAAACTTATGGGAACATGATACACATATGAAACAGCCTGGATAAGCATTATAAAGACATAAACAAGTCCTTGGATCATGAAACACGTTTGAAGACACAAGACAACTTTTCCAGATTCCATAATACACACCCATGTGCACATTCCAGCTTTGTCTTCTTTTAATAAGCTCATACTTGATTACTAGATATCCACTCACAAATGTTGGATGAAGACCATTCACGTCATAAATGCTGGACATATTCAGCATTTATTTTATACAAGACTACAATAGTCTTTAAACAATCCATGTGTGCACAATCCAACAAATAACGTGAGCTCCATTGGAATCAGCTTGAAGATACGTGGCCATGAAGAGTTGTCTCCATTTTACATCGAATCATCACATGAATTCATGGAAGATTATAAACTGGAATTTTTCATTTTGTGAGATGTAAAAGCTGGCCAAAAACACTATGTGTTATTCGGCTAAGTGTTTCAAACATATTAAATAAGCCATGTAATTTGATTTTGAAAAGGAAAATTTTATGAATTAAAACTATTGTGAGATTTTCTCTCAAATTGGTTCTTCTTATTACTATCTTCTTGACATTTCAAGTCTGATCTTGTTGTGTCAATCCTTTGATACTTTGGGTTCTTAGATTGCTATCTAACAGGTCCAAGTTCTTGAATATTGAACATATAAGGTTCGGGTTTATACTTGTTAGTATAGGTTCTTCCTTGTTCTTTGTTATTATCCAATTTCCAGCATCCTAAATTCCATTACCACATCTATCATTCATCTTTCCTTAATCAATTTCGTTCATAGCCATGTCCATATAACACCACCATCTTCATACTATCAAGTAATTTTACTGTAGAGGAATTGCTTACTTCGTTCTATATCCGGTACAATCGAAGAGGTTCTCAATCGACGGGCTGACTCATATCATATGGTAATCAGAGCAAAGGTGAACCAATCAATATAAGTCAAGTTCGTAGCTTTAATGGGTTAGCTAGTTTTTACAAAAGGTTTATACCAAACTTTAGTACAATTACCGCCCCCTTAACCGGGATTATTAAGAATAATTCAAAATTCTGTTGGGGCAAAGAACAAGATGAAACATTTAAGGAACTCAAGGATTATTTGACAAAGGTTCCCCTATTAGCCTTGCCAAACTTTGAGACGACATTTGAAGTTGAATGTGACGCCTCCGGATTGGGATTGGTGCTGTTTTGAGTCAAGAAGGAAAACTAATCGCTTACTTTAGCGAAAAGCTAAATGGTGCAACCTTGAATTATCCAGTATATGACAAAGAGATGTATGCACTCATTCGAACATTAGAGACTTGGCAGCACTACTTATTGCCAAGGGAGTTCGTAATACACACTGATCATGAAGCGTTAAAACACATCAAGGGACAACACAAGCTCAACAAGAGACATGCCAAATGGGTCGAATTCCTTGAATCATTCCCCTATGTCATCCTCTATAAGAGAGGAAAGAATAATATTGTGGTAGATTCTCTTTCAAGCAGGTATGTGCTACTTAACACTTTGGATTCCAAACTCCTTGGTTTTTCATTTATTAAAGAACATTATGATACTGATTTGGACTTTGGAGAGAGATATAAGTTATGTGAAACAGGTGCTCATGAAAAATATTATCAGCATGATGGTTATCTTTTCAAGGAAGGTAGGCTTTGTATTCCACAAGGATCCATGCGAGAAGTGTTAACCAAAGAAGCACATGAAGGGGGACTTATGGGACACTTTGGCGTTGAAAAGACACTTAGCATCTTGAAAGAACACCTCTTTTGGCCAAAGTTGAAAAGGTTGAAAAGGTTGAAAAGGTATGTGAAAGGTGTCTAGTATATAAAAGGGCAAAATCAAAAGTCAAGCCTCATGGGTTATACCATCCATTTCCAATACCAACCATACCACGGGTAGATGTCTCTATGGATTTTGTTTTAGGTTTACCTCGAACCAAAAATGGAAAGGATGCGATATATATGGTGGTTGACCGATTTTTCAAGATGGTTCATTTTATACCCTGTAACAAAACCGATGATGCTATTCACGTTGTAAACTTATTCTTCAAAGAAGTGGTAAGGTTACATGGACTTCCTCGAACCATTGTCTCGGATAGAGATGTCAAATTTTTGAGCCACTTTTGGAGGACTTTGTGGGGTAAAATTGGCATGAAGCTACTCTTTTCCACTACTTGTCATCCTCAAATGGATGGGCAAATAGAAGTCGTCAATAGAGTCTTGTCAACAATACTCAGATCGATAATCAGGAAGAACATCAAGACTTGGGAGGAATATCTACCACACTTGGAGTTTGCATATAATCGAACCAAACATTCGGCGACAAAATTTTCTCCATTTGAGGTAGTGTATGGTTTCAATCCCTTAACTCCTTTGGACTTACTTCCTTTACCTTGTGATCAAATAGTAAACAAAGATGGAAAGGACAAGGCAGAATTTGTTAAGAAACTCCATCAACAAGTCAAGGACTATATTGAAAGAAGAACTAGACAATATGAGCAGCAAGCAAACAAACGAAGGAAAAATGTAACTTTTGAAGTAGGAGATTGGGTTTGGGTACACTTCAGGAAGGAGAGGTTTCCAAATCAAAGAAGATCCAAATTATTACCTCGAGGAGATGGCCCATTCCAGATTATTGAAAAGATCAATGACAATGCTTATAAACTAGAGTTGCCCGGTGAGTTTGGTGGTGTTAGTGCTTCATTCAACATTGCAAACTTAACACCCTTTGAGGATGGAGACGATTTGGGAACAAATTGCTTTAAAGAAGAGGGGGATGATGTGATCACACCCACATCAGATCCCGAAGTCATGCCACAGGGTCCCATTACTAGATCGAGGGCCAAACAATTCAGGGAAGTACTCATAACTAAGTGTCTTGAAACTATTGATTCATTTAATAACTTGACACCCTCCGACGTTAAGTTATATAATGTATTAACAGTTAATAACTTAGTATGAGTGTTTCATGCATATAGTTATACTAGCATTGCATATTTTAATATTAAGCATGCATACATTCATGGGGTTTATAGCAGCATGTTCATCATTTGTTTTGCATTCAAGCATGTTTCAATAACAACATCATTTTCATTTAATTATAATTACCACTCATGTGCACTCATTTTAGTTTTAAGATTTAAATATTTTTAATTATTATATCATGCATATTAGCTAATAATAACATATACATGCACAACAACAAGGTATTTGATTCATTCCAGTGGACAGTTCACGTCACTTATATTTATCACCAGTTTTGAACATGTTACAAGCATAATTGGGAGATGAAGTCTCTTAGAATTTAATCCCATATCTCTTATATTTCCAACTCATTTTGAATCGTGTCAAACCGATACTGGAAGCTTGAGATATTCACAGATTACCGAAGACAGTACAGGCTGGAAATAAATACGGGATTTACAACTAAATTAATCATTCCAGCTCATTTCCTTTTATTTATCTTGTTTTCTTTGCACATGATGGCATGTTGGAGCATTATAAAGAAGCACACCAATCAGTAGAGTATGGGACATGAAGATATCAATCTATTCAAGCATTTTGGAGGCTGACGCACATGCTGGATAGTTTTGAGCACTTGGAAAACACACAACTCACAAAAGTATGGAAATAAAGTTATGAGAACATGATACACGTATGCAACAGCCTAGATAAGCATTATAAAGAAATAAACAAGTCCTTGGATCATGAAACACATTGGAAGACACAAGACAGCTTTTCCAGATTCCATAATACACACCCATGCTGCACATTCCAGCTTTGTCTTCTTTTAATAAGCCCATACTTCATGACTAGATATCCACTCACAAATGTTGGATGAAGACCATTCACGTCATAAATGCTGGACATATTCAACATTTATTTTACACAAGACTACAATAGTCTTTAAACAAGCTATGTGTGTACAATCCAACAAATAACGTGAAGCTCCATTGGAATCAGCTTGAAGAGACGTGGCCATGAAGAGTTGTCTCCATTTTACATCGAATCATCACCTAAATTTATGAAAGATCATGAACTGGAATTTGTCATTTTGTGAGATGTAATAGCTGGCCAAAAACACAATGTGTTATTCGGCTAAGTGTTTCAAACATATTAAATAAGCCATGTAATTTGATTTTGAAAAGGATAATTTTATGAATTAAAACTATTGTGAGATTTTCTATCAAATTGGTTCTTCTTAGAACTATCTTCTTGACATTTCAAGTCTGATATTGTTGTGTCAATCCTTTGATACTTTGGGTTCTTAGATTCCTATCTAACGGGTCCAAGTCCTTGAACATTGAACATATAAGGTTCGGGTTTATACTTGTTAGTATAGGTTCTTCCTTGTTCTTTGTTATTATCCAATTTCCAGCATCCTAAATTCCATTACCACATCTATCATTCATATTTCCTTAATCAATTTTGTTCATAGCCATATCCATATAACACCACCATCTTCATTACTATCAAGTAATTTTGCTGTAGAGGAGTTGCTTACTTCGTTCTAGATCCGGTACAATCGAAGAGGTCCTCAATCGACTGGCTGACTCGTATCACTTACGTTGAATTCACCCGGTAAGTCCAACTTATAAGCGTTATCGTTCACTTTCTCCAACACTTGAAATGGACCATCTCCCCATGGTAACAACCTAGAACGTCGTTGGAATTGAAAATGTTCATTTCGAAAATGAACCAAAACCCAATCTCCAACATCGAAGGTAAATCGCTTACGACCTTTATTTGCTTGCTTCTCGTATTATTGAGTCCTCCGTTTTAGATTTTCGTTAACCTGTTGATGCAACCTTTTCACATAGTCTGCCTTAGACTTTTCATCCCTGTTCATAACCTGTTCTTGAGGTAATGGAAACAAATCCATAGGAGTTAAAGGATTAAAGCCATAAACAATCTCAAATGGTGAAATTTTAGTAGCAAAATGAATAGAATGGTTATAGGCAAACTTAACATGTGGTAAACAATCTTCCCATGTCTTAATGTTCTTTTTAATGATGGAACGCAATAAAGTAGATAAAATTCGATTTACAACCTCAGTTTGTCCATCAGTTTGAGGATGAAAAGTAGTGGAAAACATCAGTTTCGTTCCCAATTTGCACCAAAAGTCCTCCAGAAATGACTCAAAAACTTAACATCCCTATCAGAAACAATAGACTAAGGAATTCCATGTAAACGAACAATCTCCTTGAAAAACAAGTTGGCCACATTAGTAGCATCATCAGTTTTATGACACGCAATGAAATGTGCTATCTTTGAAAACCTATCAACCACAACAAATATACTATCTTTACCTGTTCCCAACACAAAATCCATCGAAATACCCAGCCAATGGAATCAAGAATAGGTAAAGGCAAATACATATGTGTAGTATAACCTTCGATTTTACTTTCATACATGTTACACAACGTTTACATATTCTTTCAACGTCCCTACGTATATTAGGCCAGAATAGATGCTCTTTCAGAATGTGCAACGTCTTAGTAACTCTAGAGTGTCTCATAAGGCCACCTTCATGTGCTTCTCGAACAAGGACTTCTCGAATTGACCCTTGAGGAATGCAGATTCTTCCTTCTTTGAAAAGATAGCCATCATGTCGATAAAACTTTCATATGCACCTTTTTCACATGCTATAAATCTTTTTCCAAAATCAGGATCAGTGGCATATAAATATTTAATATAAACAAAACCAATCAAATGAGAGTCCAAATAATTTAGAAGTACATACCTGCAGGACAAGGCATCCGTTGCAACATTGTCTTTACCCTTTTTATATCGAATGACATAAGGAAAAGACTCCAAAAATTCAACCCACTTAGCATCATTTTATTCAATTTATGGTGACCTGTAATGTGTTTTAAAGCCTCACGATCGGTGTGAATCACAAACTCTTTCGGCAAAAGATAATGCTGCCACGTCTCAAGTGCTCAAACTAATGCATAGATCTCCTTATCATAAACTGGGTAGTTTAAGGTGGCACCACTCAACTTCTCACTGAAATATGCAATAGGTCGCTTTTCCTATGACAAGATTGCTCCAATTCCTATACATGAAGCATCACACTCAATCTCGAACATTTTATTAAAATTAGCATAGGCTAACACTGGTGCCTTAGTCAGACAATCCTTTATTTTTAAAAAGGCTTCATCCTATTCATTACCCCAATTAAATATAGAATTCTTCTTTATAATCGTGGTTAAGGGTGCTGTAATGGAACTAAAATTAGGTACGAACCGACGATAAAAACTAGCTAAACCATGAAAAGATCTAACCTGAGTTATTGACGTCGGTCGAGGCCATTCCTGAATTGTCTTCATTTTTCAGGATCGACTTCTACACCCTGGGTACTAACAATGAAACCAAGAAAGGTAAGCTTGTCAGTACAAAATACACATTTCTGTAAATTACTGAACAACCTTTCTTTTCTCAATGTGCCAAGAACTTTTCTCAAATGCTCCTCATGTTCCTCCAACGACTTGCTGTAGATAAGAATGTGATCAAAATAAACAATGCAGTACTTTCCAATATAAGGTCACAAAACATGATTCATTAGCCGCATGAACGTACTAGGCGCATTCGTTAAACCAAAAGACATTACTAACCATTCATACAAACCTAATTTTGTTTTGAAATTGTCTTTTATTTACCGCCTTCTCGCATTCGAATATGATGATACCCACTCTTTAAATCCACCTTGGAGAAGATACTCTCACCACATAATTCATCAACCATATCATAAAGGCGAGCAATAGGATAATGATATTTGATAGGAATTTGATTCACAGCTCGACAATCGACACACATTCTCCATGTTCCATCCTTTCTTGGCACCAATAAAATGGGTACAACATAAGGACTCAAGCTCTCTCGAATATAACCCTTCTCCATTAACTCATTTATTTGCTTATGAATTTCTTTCGTTTCTTCAGCATTACTTTGATATGCTGGCCTATTTGGAATAGTGGCTCCTGAATAAAGTCAATCTGATGCTCAATGCCCCGAATAGGTGGCAATCCAATAGGTGTCTCATCCGGAAACACATCTTCAAATTCCTTCAAAAAGAGATGCAATAGACATAGGCATATCAGGGGGAATTTCAACCAATAAACAATGCTCCTTATACATTAAAATGAGTAAAGATTGATGAGAGGAAAGACATTTCCTGATTTCTTTTCTGCTTGCATACACGTTCATCTTTTTCTTCCCTTTTGCTTCTTCACTGTTCTTTTTCAAATGAACTTGATCTTCTTGCACTTGACTTGGTGTCAAAGGTGCTAAAGTGATTTTCTTACATGCATTCATAAAAGAATATCTATTTGTGAATCATACATCACCTTTTTATCAAACTGCCACGGACGTCCTAGCAAAAAATGAGTGGCATCCATTGACACAACATCACACAACACTTCATCCTTGTACATACAAGAACTTGTTTAGTGACCTTTAACTTCCAGCACATTCAACCACTGTAGCTTGTATGGATTGGGATGCTTTATCGTTTTCAACCCTAACTTGTCACTCATAACAATACTTGCAACATTAGTACAACTACCTCTATCAATAATCACAACACTTACCTTATCATTTACAAGACATCTTGTATGAAAGATGTCCTCTCGCTACTGCTCATCTTGAATCGATTGTTCATTTAAACTTCTCTTAACCACAAGTGCTTCACCTGTTGCATAAGTCTATAATTGGTCATTATCTTCATCATCGTCACAAAAAGGGTATCTTTCTCATCATCTTCAGATTCAGACTCTATATCCCCATTCACAAGCGTCAACATTCTCTTTCGGTTAGGACACTAACTTGCAACATGCACTCTACCAAGGCAGTTGAAGCATTGGATGTCTCTTGTGCGTTCTGGATGTTGCTTTCCACGTCCAACTTCGACAACGGAAGGTTTTGGACTACTCGCTTATGTTATTTCCTTAATCTTAAGTGGTGCTTGCTTCCTGGCATTGTTAGGAGTAACTAATGGATTAGAGAAAACTTTAGAAGGAGTATGATGATGTGAACACAACAACACAATTGGATCCTGAAGTCATGCCTCAAGGACCTATCACTCGTGTAAAGGCTAAACAATTAAGGGAAGTACTTTCTCATAAGTGCCTTAATGTTTTTAAATCTTTTAATGAGAAAGAACCATTAGATAATAGGTTGTTTAATATATTACATATTGAATATTAAATAACCTATAGTTCACATTCTTATATTATACATTATATAAGTTCATTCACTTCGTTTATTTCTTTATGTTATGCATGTAGGCATATTCGACCAACACTTGGGAGCTACATTGGAGCTAAATGGAGCATACAAAACAAGGATACTTACATGGAAACGATTAAAAGAGCATAAGGAGCAAATTGGTGAAAAGTTGTTTTGAGGCCGTGAGCTCATAGCTGGATTTAGCTGAATATTTGAGCTACAAGATGACCTCATTTCAGCTGGGGAGCTGCACCATCATCATCACCACTTAGGACACTTCAAATATGTCCTAAGTAAAAATTTGTGAATTCTTACGTTTTCCCGAATAGTTGCCAACTCAAGAGGTACCTTTTCACAAGGAGCTGCCATAATGTTCACCATGATACAAGTCACCTATGGCCATCTCACCTTTAGCTCATTCACACCATAAGTAGCTCAAACATGAAGGGATACCTTTCTCAAACATTATGACCTTTCATGAATGATGCTGCCCATGAAGATGCCTTTACATCTATGAGCATGCTGATGAAGACATTGTAATCATTGGAGGTTTAAATCACCAAAGAACATGATATAAAGCTCCATGCCTATTCGCCCACACATGCCATGCACATGAGAGCTTTTGGCGACAACATGAGAAGACACAACACCATTCGGCCAAGGGAGATGTTTCCTCATCATTGCCGAATCATTAAGCCCCTTCATGAAGGGCTAGCTGAACCAACACCAAACCTATAGACATGTTCTTTTATTTTGAAACATTATGTATCTTCCTAGAGACATGTATCTAGCCGAAACATCATGTAACCATTCTGCAAAGCCCTCTCATTTCCTATAAATAGAGTGGCTTGCCTTCATTTGTACTCATCTCATCTCATATATAAAAAATACTCTTGTGAGTTATTTCTCTTCAAAGTTCTTTGTGAACTTTATCGATTAAACAAGTATAGTTCCTATACTTGTGGCATCATTCCTTCCATCTTGATTCCTAAATTCCTAGATTAATATCTAGTGGGTTGAAGACACTATCACCACCCCTCAAGCAAGTTTGTGAAGACCGGGATTGTGCTTCATAGCATAGTTTCCTCTTTGGCGTGTTTGAGATACAACATCACCACCATTGCCATTTCATCATCAACATCATCCATCTCTTCCATCAATTCCGCAGCCATCCCTATCCTTACATCATCCATCTCTTTCATGAATTCTGCAGCCATCTCTATCCTTTCTTTATTTTATTTCATTCTTATTTTTTCATTTCATTACTTATATTATTATTCCCTTTATAAAATCCATCATTAATCATATTTCCTTTCTTATTTTGTGCAGTCCAAGCTTATAAATTCAAGGACATCAGTAGTTGACAATCCTAGATCGGGACACAATCAAAGCGTGTAGATCACCTTGCATCAAACGGAAATCAGAGCATAGTTGGATTGATAACAAAAGTGTCATTGGCGTGCAAAGAAAAAGAAAAACATAAGAAAAGACTCCTTCAACAATATTGGAGTGCAAAAAAAGAAAAGAAAAGATAAAAAGAAGAAAAAAAATTCAGAAAAAGAAGGAAAGAAAAAGAAGTTAAAAAAGTGAAAGCAAGCCAAGGAAATTGCTCTACCATTGCGAAGTACATCAAAAAGGCCATCTACACTAAGAGAAGATAACCTTATTGTTTCTTGAGAAAGGTTGCAGTAAGTGTTGTTTCTTGAATTGTAAGTCACCTCTTCCTTTTCTATCCTTTCATTTTCCTTGTCTTCAACCATTTCTTTCTTTTAATACCTTTGAATCTTTTCTTCTACTTTCCATTTTTTCTATTCTTTCTACCCTAACCTTATTTGCAGCCGACGCACACAAGGAAAGAATAACTTGTTATAATCTTGAGTAAGTTCCTCAAAGGACTTAGCCAGAGAAATTTGAGTGGAAAAAGGCTATTGAGAGAGTGAGATCAGAAGTGGAATTGTTAAAATCCAAAATTATATTCCCGAGAGTAAACATGAGTGTTGAGTGGAGTGATCTTATCTTTTCTTTGGAGTGAACTTGTGAGACTTTTTGAGTGTGCTGGTAAGGTTTATTTTCATTTTATTCACTAACAATGACTCAAGTTGCAGGACAAATTTTTGTAGTGAAAAGAGGCTTGAATATTCAATCCATGGAGGATAACCAAAGAGATAATATTTTTCACACTAGATGTCATATAAACAACAAAGTGTCTTTCATGATTATCGATGGGGGAAGTTGCACCAATGTTGCAAGTACTTTAATAGTGGCTAAACATGGACTCAAGACCATTAAATATCCTACACCATACAAGCTACAATGGCTAAATGATGGAGGAGAAGTTAAAGTCACCAAACAAGTCAACATTTCCTTTTCAATTGGGAAATACCAAGACCAAGTCCTTTGTGATGTCATTCCAATGAATGCGTGCCATATACTCCTAGGGAGGCCTTGGCAATTTGATAAGAAGGCTATCCATGATTGTTTCACCAACCGGTACTCTTTCTATCACCATGAAAATAAATTTATTTTGACTCCTCTTTCACCAAATGAAGTTTCTGAAGATCAAGACGCTTTGAAGAAAAGCATTGAAGTTTTCAAATCTATCAATGAGGAGAAGCCAATGAAGATGAACATATATGCTGGAGGAAAAGATATTAGGAAACATTTGTTATCTTACAAAGCTCTAATTGTACTTAGGTACAAGAAAAGCTTAATTTTGACTAACATTCCTGAAGGCTTGCCTTCCTCTATTTCATCTTTATTGCAGGAATTTGAAGAGTTATTTCCGGAAGATATCCCTAGTGGATTTCCACCTATTAGAGGGATCAAGCATCAAATTGATTTTATACCGGGCGCATCCATTCCAAACTGACCAGCATATAGAAAAAACCTCGAAGAAACCAAGGAACTTCAAAAACAAGTTGAAGAATTTATGGACAAGGGATACATATGAGAGAGTTTGAGTCCATATGTTGTTCCGGTGTTACTTGTGCCCAAAAAGGATGGTTCATAGAGAATGTGTGCAGACTGTCGTGCTATCAATCAAATTACCATGAAGTACCGACATCCTATACCAAGACTTGATGACATGCTAGACGAATTAAGTGGAGGCACTATATTTTCTAAAATTAACTTACAGAGTGGATATCATCAAATCAAAATGAGAGAAGGAGATGAATGGAAGACCGCATTCAAAACAAAGCAAGGATTGTATGAGTGGTTGGGAATGCCTTTCAGTTTAACCAATGCTCCAAGCACCTTCATGAGGTTAATGAATCTTGTACTCCAACCATTCATCGATAAGTTTTGTGTTGTTTATTTTGATGATATTTTGGTTTATAGTCATAACTTGGAATCCCATGTGCAACACTTGAGGTACATTCTTGAAGCCCTTCAAAAGGGAAAGTTTTATGCAAAAATGAAGAAATGTGTCTTTTGCACTAACAGTTTAACATTCTTAGGCTTTATTGTAAGTTCACAAGGACTTGAAGTTGATCCTGAAAAGATCAAAGCCATTCAAGAGTGTTCTACGCCTACTTCCATTAGTCAAGTCCGAAGTTTTCATGGTCTTGCAAGTTTTTATAGAAGGTTTGTGCCTAATTTTAGTTCTATTGCCGCCCCCTTAACATGGATCATTAAAAATAATTCTATCTTTCCATGGGGAAAAGAACAAGAAG